AAAGCTGATAGCACGCTTCGGAAGCCCACGAAACCGTTTCATCAAACCCTCGACCTCACCGACTTGCATCAACTCACTATTAGTGGCCATGGCCGAACTTCCTAGCCCCAATGCCTGCGTTGATCTTCATGCCACGCCGAACGATACTACGGCACCACTAGTCACTGTACTCGTCTCTCTTCTCTAGTATTCTTCAGCGATTTACTTCCTTCCAGATTCCGACAGTCGGGGCACAGAACACCGCATCTCACACCGCGACCGCGACAGACTGTACTTCCAGGCTTAAATCCCTCCAGTCCCAGCTTCGGCACGCATTGTCTATGGACACACAAAGCCTAGACCACTGGCAGTCGCGTCCGCTCGCAAAAACGATACCCCTGTTCATCGACATGGCAAATAGCTTCAAGTTAGTAAAAGACACGGAAACCCAACACGAAGACTCGTGGTCTGCCATTCGAAGATTACATGAAGATCACACCCTCATCCGTTATCTGCTCGAACTCTCCGCGGCGCTACTGCACCTTTGCCAGTGCCACTCGGAGGAGATTGCACTAGAGCTCGGCCGAAGTCGATACACTGCTTTTGCGGTTGTCGCCCTGCAGAAGAAGTTTTCAGCAGACGAGGCTCAAACGAAGCTTTCCGATACTCTCAAGCAGTTGGCTGAATGTCAAGATGCCCTTCGACAGTCACTATCTTTGCTCGCAGTCTCGGCGGCGGCCTTGGGAGCGTCGATGGTAAACACGACGTCAAAGAGTCTCATGCTTGCCGAAAGCTCTCTGGGCAGCCAGAGATTTGGGAAGATAGACGAGACGCCATTGCTTACGCGTTTAAGCGCCTGCAGCTCTCAGACTCCGACGTTACCCTTTTAATTTGGAGCCTGTTGACACATGAAAGTTGGTATACGTGGGTGTGTGCCTTGGTGTTCTTCATTGTGATGAAGTCGCATATGTAGCGTACGAACTGGCCTTCCTGTACCATATTTATTCTCCTCCGCCGTAGCCGATACAGCATTGCACTTGAATTTTGCGTTTGAGAGTCGTTGACTCGTTGGACTCGCCGCCAAGTGCTCGGTCCCCTCAGCGGCGAACGGGGGTAGGCAGTGATACATAGAGCTCGCTAGCCTTTCTGTAACATTGAAGACAGCAAGAAAAACGATTACATGATGCGGCCGCGACAAGCATAAAATGATTCCAAAATTATATTCACTACATGGCCAATGCATCCGCTAGGATACACCGGCGTGCGAAGATTAGCACCTAGAGAAACGTGAAGGGGCCATCGCAGGGTATAGTGAGACCCCATCAAATGCAGTTCTTCGACGGTGGACACTGAAAACGCAATCCAAAAAAGCTGGTCTATCTCCGCTACGGCCACGAAGACGCGCTACCGTTAAGCGATACGCCTCGAGTGTCCATCCTGAGGGGGCGGGGATAATCCCACGTCGCAGTGAGAGCCATGGAATCAATGCAAAAAACGCCCACTATGAAGGGAAACATGTACAGCACGCGAAACCGCTAAGCGACGGGCATCGAGTGGAACCACTTAGATTTGGTGGAATGGCACGAAAATGCCTCATAGTTTCAGATTTGTACACCTCATACGACAGCAGACAAATCGGCGACCTAGGAAACAGAAAAAAACCAGGTGGAACCTTTCACTTGCAGGCATACCGATGAGGCATACGCCTGTGACTGCCAACTGGCGATGAGTTAATCACCGAAGGAGAAGCAATTGCCGAGGTGTACGTAGCTCCAGGTCCGGTTGCAGACAAATCCACGTTAGAGAGAAAACCGTAGAAGGCAAGATACCATCCATGCGAAAACGTTTAGTCACACGCCTGCTGCTCGGTAGAGTGAGCGAAAGCCGCGTCAAGTCCTAAAAAGGTCAACACAAGTCCACAATCGCTACCGCACACACCGAATGGAACCGCTAAGCCACATCAGCATGGCAGTCTACAGTCCAGAGTAGGTTTAGGGTGGATGTTGCGGGGAAAGAGCCTCCGGGTACTTCCGAGCACGTTGACGACCCTCACTGAGGATCTTGCTGCCGACCTCGCCGCTATTGCAACAACAAGTCTAAGCACGTAGAAAACGAGATGTTGACATTCATGCCAGGCTGCTGTACCCAAGCGGCAAGCTAGCGAAAGACCAGAGCGTGGCTGTGTCAAAATTGGCGCCGTCTTTCAAACCAAATATTGTGGGCCTCAACCAGCAACCTTCGTGTACCTTGGAGCCAGAGTCTCCCATGTTGCACTGCTCTATGCTCGACGCATGGAAGCCCGTGGGTGAACGACACTCTTACGACCATCCTCTTGGCACGAGCTAGATGTGAGTCTCGTATTCAACCTTGTGCTGGTTTGATGAACTTTGCTACAGGTGACTAGGAATAAGCCCGTCCCATACTGGTCTCTGTTCCAATCATCTTCTGGTGTTCCTTCATTCCTTGCGATGGGCATCAAAGTTCCTGGTGCGCTATATGTCCAAGTCCCGCGAAGCTCACTGGGGGTCCAACAAGATCAAGATGTTGCACGTTGGCACTTCCTGATGCCCGTCCAACGGCCGTTCCTCATGGGGACCTTGTGCCGATTCTACCTACCTACCTACCTCCAAAAAAAACCCCGATTTTTGAATCGCGCTTTGATACGGGCCGCAGACATAGGCGCCTCTTTCAAGCGCCATGAAACGTTCCGAGCCACATTCGGTCCGATCGAAGCGCTTTGAGTGTATACCGCTCTGATGTAGTTCAACATGGAGATCAAAAAGCCCTGATACCGGACAGGTCTACAGCGGTCGTGGTCAACGGAGTATGAAACACGAGCCGGGCTTGGCGGGCTATCGTGGTCTGTCCCGACTCACCTCAGCTCAACTCTACACACTTTCGAAAAGGCGGGTAACAGATCAAGAACCGGCGAAGCGTTTATATACTCCTCCTACGAGAATCAGTGAGTTCGCTATTTGTATAGTGCGCCCCGCAGAATCTGCTTCACACTCGTTACAGCTCCTCTTACGCTCCACAATATGACTCCCATAACGGAGCTGAAGCTTCGAGACGACCACACCGATGCTGATCCGCTTTCTGGCGGGAAGAATAGCACTCTCGGTGTGTCCTCAGTACGTCCAAAGTAGTCGTTGTGGCTCATGTTCGCCACTAGGAGCGTATCTGATGGCAGGCCTTGCGATGCACGTACTGTTTGGAATTCTGATCACACAAACACATGCGTACTATCGTACTTTCGGAGACGACAAAGTGTGGCTGAAGATCTTCGTGAGTGCAGTGTCCTCCCAAGCACCTCTTGATTTATTGAACTACAGGTTGGCGGAATGTTGTACGAGACGGTACCGGCTCTCTTCTATTACTACACGTTCTTACTACTTTCCCTTTTCCAGCATACTAGAGACTATCCAGATTGTCTTGTCGAATGCTGGACTCTACACCATCGCCGTAACGGAATACTGCAACCCGACCGTCCTGCTATATCCACCCAAGATATTTCCGTGGGTGATTCTCCCTACATTCATCATGCGATGCATCAGTAAGTTACGCGTAACCTCTCATACGTCCTTGACACATCCCACAGTCCAAGCTTTCTTCATATATCGAATCTGGCGACTGACGAGAAGACGCCTCATCACGGTCATCCTGAGCGCATTGAACATCGCTTCTACTACCCTCGGTTTCGTGATAGCAATTCAGCAGATCCGCATGTCCGCAATCCTCTACCATACGGGCGATATGTACGGCCTCCTACTCGCGTCCTTTACGCTTACTCTGGCTCTCGACATCCTCACCACCGCAACCTTTATCGAATGGCTTATCCGACAGCGTCGCGAATGTATCAAGTCGTAGGTGTTCTGCCGTCTCCGGATCAGCGACACCCATCGTTCCTTTCGCAGGAGTAGCACTGCAATCATATGCGATCAACTGATTATTTGGTCTATCCGTGAGATTCCCTCGTCGTATTCACGAAACAAGCCAGTAACACTGAGCCTCACCAGAGACCGGATTCTTTACAAGGTAATAGGCGAGCCCAGTCTTTGTGGAGCACCAAGTTTGAACGTCCTCGCACAGCCTGGCATCCTTAGGCATGCTGGTCACGGTAAGCAACCAACCCATCTTCTCGTGCCTTTTCTGCCCTGATTCCTTTAGTTCATCCGGATGCCAGGGAACTGTACGTGCTTGACATCATCGACCATTCAATGATGACCTTTTCACATTTCAATAGTTATATGGATCTCGTTCTACGTGATCGTTCCCAAACGTACGTTTCATTCTCTCAGCCCATCACTGGCATGGATTGATCTGTAGCAGTGTATTCCAACTCGCTCCTTTCGAGCCTCAATGGGCGAATCGGGCTGAGGCAAAGCCAGACCGAAATGGGCGAGATCTCCATTGCTGGTATCTACTTTGCTGGCACGAAGGATACCTCTCAGTCCGGTATTGAAGTACGTCTCGGACCCACGATGATGCGAGTCCATATTTAGAGCTCTTTCATAGGTAGCACTTCCTCCCGAGAACCTGCTGAAGAAGGTGACTTCGAGTGGGCGAGAGACACCCGATAGCACATTGGATGCAATTGCCTAAGACGGGCCTCGTCATGTAGAAGATGTATCACCTTTACTTATCTATAACTATCTACTTTATTCGTGTCCTTCTCCACCAACTGTCCATCAGCGCGACTACGGGCTGCCGTGGCGCATCCGAAGCTGGGTTACCCACATGATCAATACAAGACGTGTCAACAATTTGGGCACATTGTCAAGGCTATTCCTAAGTCTGTCGTGTACATGGAAGTCAATTCATTGGAACGTACGCCTGGGTGTGCGACCGAAAAGAATCTTCGTACGCCACTCACATTCCTAATGCCAAAAGCGTATGTAGTGGAAGTGAATACGCTCGTGGGTAACCACGAGACATAACCCGCCACTCCCCAAGTCGCGCTATCTCAAATAAACGACCAGCCTAGTGGCTGGCTGCAAAAACAGTTGCACGTACCCGGCTAGCTCTCTGACTGGGAGTCGAACCCAGTTTTCGCGCGCACAGTTGAACGATTACCCATGACAGGCGCGTGTACTGACCAATATACTATCAGAGATGAATGAATCGACATGGAATTTTTGACGGCCCGGGCGTCATGATCTCAGAACCACCCAAGTGCGCTTCAGGTGGCGAGTTGTAAACCGTAATATGTGTTCATTAGGCCCTAGCTGAAGTCAGTAGTATCCCGTTCGAGTCTTCAAGTCGATAGGCTAGCACCTAGGAACCAACAATTCAATGGCATCATACTCATTTCAACGAGGCGCTTTGTCCTTAGTCACTTGTTTGGCAGAGGAGGATATCACAACTTCTCATTCTCACGCTGGCGCAGGGAGAAGCTGAGAGCGGCAGGACAAAGGCGGGATGGGGGCGTGGCGTGGCGCAACATCGCGTGTTTAGACACGAAACCGGTTTCAAAACCATGGCCTCCCGGGGCGTCGGTATCAATACCGTTACTAACACCCCCGGGAGGTTTACTGCGCCATCCTAACCAAAAATGACAATGTGCATAAAAACTATTAGATGCCACGCCCACATCTCTCTGACTGGGAGTCGAACCCAGCTTTCGCGCGCACCTTGCCTCAATTACGCATGACAGGCGCGTGTACTAACCGATATACTATCAGAGATGGTGGATTCAGACCTTGAGCCTTTCACGGCCCGTGGATCCGTGGCACAAAATAAATGATCTAACGCTCTTCAGGTGATGGCGAGTTGCACACCGTAATTTGTCTTCAGTGAGCCCTAGCTGAAGTACCTCGTTCGAGTCTGCAGGTCGATGAGCACCTGCCCGCTGATTGAGAGGCGCCAGGTCCCAATTCATGGAAATCCGCTCAACCAATCTAATGGAAGCCTCAAAAGCAGAAGCAACCAAGGAAAGGAAAAATTCAATAGCATCATACTCGCCAAACGAAAAGAAGTCGTACAACGTTCATTGTCATATTTAAATCAATCAGTCGTGCGTAATGTACATTGCGATATCCATACATAATGTTAAAATTTCCTCGTCGTTCATGCTTAGTATTCATTTACATACGGTGACCCAAGTTGACGTGCACAGCCTTCGTTTGGGTGTAGCTAGAAGAGAGAATCGCGTCAGTGTCATAGGCGACCGAGGATGAAAACGATAAGCTTACTTGTGCAGCGCGTACTCGCCCAACTCCCGTCCGATACCGCTCTGCTTGAAGCCACCGAAAGGAACGTTCGCGTGCAGCTGGTTCGCGCAGTTGACCCAGGCAGTACCGGCCTTGAGCTTATGTGCAGTCTCAAGTGCGCGGTTGATGTTCTGAGAGAACACGGCGGCGGCGAGGCCGTAGACTACGAACGAAGACGTCAGGATTAGAAAGGATGATATGGAAAGGATACATACCGGTGTCGTTGGCCTGTCTTATCACATCCTCCTCATCCTCAAACTTGATAACAACACCGACGGGGCCAAAGATCTCCTCCTGCACGATCTTCATGTCCGGGGTGGTGTTGGTGAAAATGGTGGGCGAGATGAAGTAACCCTCGTTTCCGTGGCGCTCGCCTCCGTGGTGGACGGTAGCACCCTGCTCCTTGCCGGACTGGATGTAGCCCATAATGCGGTCGTATTGCTGCTGGGAGACCTGCGGGCCCTGGTCGATACCCTCAGCGAAGGGGTCGCCGACCTTGATGTTCTTGGTGCGCTCGGTGAATCGCTTGAGGAACTCGTCGTAGATGCCGGACTGCACGAAGATACGCGAACCGGCGCAGCAGGCTTGACCGTGGTTCCAGCTATCGAAAAGAGTTAGACAAGACGGTGGAGGAAACGCGGACAACGTACAAGATACCGTGAGCAGCCCAGTTGACGGCTTGTTCGAGATCGCAATCGTTGAAGATGATGTTGGGGCTCTTACCGCCAAGCTCCAGGGTGACGTCCTTGAGGTTGGACTTGGCAGCAGCCTCCATGACCTTGCGGCCGACGAGGGTAGATCCCGTGAACGCCACCTATGAAATTCGTAAATCTGACGCGTCACGAGTACCGCGGAAGACCAACCTTTTCGATATCCATGTGCGAGGACATCGCAGCACCTACGGTGTGGCCGTAACCCACAAGGATGTTAATGACACCCTTGGGGAAACCGGCCTCCTGGATGATAGAGCACATGCGGATGGCTGTCAGAGGCGTGAACTCGGAAGGCTTGAGAATGATGCAGTTTCCGGTGGCGAGAGCGGGGCCGATCTTCCAGGCGAACATGAGGAGAGGGAAGTTCCATGGAATGATCTGGCCGACGACACCAATGGGCTCGTGGCGCGTGTAGCAAAGCTTGTTCTCGTCGGTTTCGATGGTCTGCCCAGAGATCTTGTCCGCCCAACCAGCGTAGTACTTGATGGTGGCGATAGCAAAGGCCGTATCGGTGCCCTTGGCCCATCCAAACGTCTTGCCTAGAAGCACGTCAGCGGGAGCCGAATAGAAAGAGAACGCGACGTACCGTTATCGAGGGACTCGAGGGCAGCGAGCTCATCGTGGTACTTCTCCATCAGCGTCGCGAGCTTGTTGAGTAGCTCGGAACGGCGTGCACCGCTCGCGTTAAGACCCCACTCAGTCTCGAACGCCTTGTGAGCAGCCTTAACGGCGCGATCGACATCGGCCTCGGTTGCCTCGGCGACCTTTGTGATGAGCTTGCCGTTGGTAGGGTTGATAACACTGTCGATCGTCAGCGAGACAGAAAAAAAAAGTGAGACAAGCCGAGCGCGTACTCGATGGTGCTGCCAGACGCGCCCTTGGAAAAACTCGCCGCCGATAAAGACACCGGTTGGGAAAGAGACCTTGCCCTTGAAGAGAGGAGTGTTGAATTCAGTGGAAAAGGTCGTCATTGTCGGTGTATGAGAGAGACAGATAGATAAAGTTAGTCCTGGCTAGGGAAGGTCCTTATATATGTCCGTCACCCGGTCACGCGTTTGTGTTCCTCCCGGTTGAGACATCCGCATTTCAAATTACTCCACCCCCGGGATTAAGCTGCTATCGATGAACGCGAGTTGCATCACGGTCCGCCTTACGACCACCGTACTAGCGTCCATCGTCGTCAATACTATCGTCCAGAGCAGCTAGAACCAGGCTGGAACTAGCCCAACAAACAGGCAACATGATTCCATTATCGGCGGAAGTGTTTTCATTCCCCACTCTGCCCCGCACCCCGCGCGGGGAGCCGATAATCGAGTCTGGACTCCTCCACGGGATGTTATAATGTTATGCGCAGGTACACCCCAAAAGGCAGACATATCTTTGCTCAACTGTCCACAGTCATCCACAGACGGAAGACCGCATTCCATCAATCACTAAACGCAATCACTCTTCTCTCCTAACACTGGGTCAGCGGACCTCCCCAGGAAGCCCGTCGCGTACTCTCCTAATAACCTCGCGCCCCTCCTGTCTTGGCGTCCATCATTTGGGGCGTTATTAATAGAGCGTGAATGAAGAATAGTTTGCTGATACGTGTCTATCCTTTGGTTGTGAGGGTGGAGGCTGGTCGCGTTCGACGGTAGGCAATTCAACGATGTCTTCTTGGTACTATGTTGTGGAGTAAACGACAGCCCCATCGATATTCTTCTTAGCGTTACGTCAAGGTGTTGCACGCGAAAAGCCTCTTCGCGTGGGATCAGAAGAGCTGACTTGGCGTGTGATGAAACGGGCACTCCCGGGATGTGCATGCCGAGGACCGTCAACTTTATTCCGCCTACCAATTTCGCGCTCATACGCGCGTCGAGCAACTCGTATTTGTCGTGGAACGAAATGAGGTCTTCGAAGAGGTTGTACGCCACATATGTGATGCACTGCGTGAAGAGTAATGCATCTCTGATAGTATATCGGTTAGTACACGCGCCTGTCATACTCTGAAGCACCACATCCGCGCGAAAGCTGGGTTCGACTCCCAGTCAGAGAGCTTGAATATGAATCATATACTATTTTTTTGGTCCGCATTGCTGGCATTACTGTACTCTTTCGACCGGTAATTCACATAACACGTCACGGACCCTCGTGAAGTGAAGATCTGGATATTGCATAGCGCGTCACAGCATGCTTTTCGAGGCTCAGGTGGCCAAAAATGGGAATTTTTTTCGGCCCGCCTAACGGCGGGCAGTCCTAATAAGGAAATACCCGTAGTTTTTGGCCCTAATGAAGATCTTCATGGGTGAAGATGTGGCATAATGCGTCACACCCCGTGAAGATCTGGTCGAAAGAGTACAGTACCAGTTAGGGTGGCGCAGTAAACCTTCCGGGGGTGTTAGTAACGGTATCAATACCGACCCCCTGGGAGGCCCTAGTTTCGATACCGGCACGTGTTTTGGACACGTGATGTGGCGCAGCGGCTTGCCGCCCCCATCCCGCCCTTGTCCCACCAATCTTAGCCTCTCTAAGCGCCAGCGCGCCGTCACGTGAAATGATCACGTGTCGGTATCGAAACTGTACTGATACCTTGGCCGAGGTTTCAATACCGTATCAATACTGTTACTAACCGCAGTAAACCCGAGGTGTATCAAAACCTAGGGTTTACTTCACCACCCTATTACCAGTGTCTGAACCTTTTGCTCCGGGCTCCCATTATCATCGATCTCATATTCTTTAGTACTACTACAGTGCACAGTTTTGACTGTATCATAGCGGTCCAACGGAGCAGACGTCATGTTATCGACAATAAGTGTATCTGATACTACTTACATTCTGAAGGGATAAATCGAAATGACGAGCCATCTCAACATCTACAGTCCTGCTACATGGCTTCAAGACGCTATAGGGCGAACACCATAAACTCCAATCCTCACATCAAAGTGAAATCACCCACCTCTCGTAATCCTGCTCCTCCTCCACCTCCTTCAAGTCAATGGAACTTCCCATTGTGACAGGGACTTACTCTCAATGCATATTCCACCCCAACGTCGCATAGACTATGATGGGTTAAAGCTTGTGGAGCGAATTTACCTCGGGGGTTCACTTGACAGCGATGACGATAACAGAAGCAGTGAAGTACGTTGTCGCCTTGCCCACAGAAGATGCGACGACAGCGACGGCGAACTTAGTATCTGATGCAGGCGAGAAGGAGCAGTTCCGATGCATCGCGGGCAACCTATTAGTCCCGGCGACTGAGTTGGTTGTTAAGAGCTGCGAATAGGGAAGAGACGCACGTTAATACCTTCAAGAAGTACGATGGGCTAGGTAGCCCAGGCGGGGAAGGTCCGAGAAACCTACTGGGAGGTAACAGATGAGATTGAGAACGGTCAACCGTGACGAACTCGGGGAAGGAATGGGCGCATGTCCTTTTCCGTGTAAATGTCGTCTCTGGGCATGTAGACTCGAGTCGACGGTCTCGTGTAAAACCGAGTTGTGGCTATGAACATTGCTTTGGACGAGGCGCTGCTATCAGAAGCATGTCCAAGACGAGCAACACTGAGAGGAAAAAGAATAGGAAACTGCTGGATCAGCGAAGTGTCGTCATGCTTCGGAGGCTGGTAGCAAGGAGGGCAAGATTTTCCAATCGCGCTTAGACAAGACCATTGATGAATCGCGAATTCGGGAGTGGCAGTGTAGGTGGAAGAGCCTTCTGCAAGATAAACCCAGAGCAACGTTTCTTTGACGGCACAGTAGTACGTGATATAGCCCTTTTATGTACAGAGTCGGGGGAATGCAGAAGTAGAGACAGTAAGTTGAAGATGGAAGCAAGAAGCAAGCCGAGGTTTGGCCGGAAAAAGGTTGATCCGCCGCTTTCCCACCCACCATCATCTCTGAGTACGCTGGTGGACCTAGTCTCGTAAACCGACTCAACGGAGACGATGGGATACTCACGATCGTCTCTTAGTGGTGGACCTCCGAACGTACGGTTATAAGTCATACTCCTCTTTGCCTAAAGACTCGCCGATATCACGGACTGGAATATGGAGAGCATTGCGAAAGTAGACTCGGCGCCTTAGATTCTGGTCAACCGCAACGGTCTCCACGGCCATACTAGCGCTCGCTCCGAGTCTCCTACCCCACACGCACCATCATCTGCGAGCGCTGATAATCATCACGGTCTGGAACGAGAACCAGGCATCCTGACATTGAAGGGTCGACGTTCCCTACTCACCCCCGCTGGCCGTAGTAACTGTGACGCATCCTTGTCGCGAAGAACAGTGAACATCATCCTGTCGCCGTGGTTACATATGCTTCAGTACGGAGGATGAGACGTGGCTAGGAGATGGCGGATTAACACGCGACGGTCTCTCTCAACACCGATGGCAAGGTCTACTTGCATATACGGGAAATCTGTTTCTCGGCGACGACATGATGGTGAAGACGTATAAAAGTCGTCCTCCCTCCTCAATGCTTCTTCAGGTTGATCCTCTTCTCGATATTTGCACCCTCTCACCGCTGGTAAGTATGAGTTGATTTAAATTGGACCGTCCTCTGATCGCAAACGAATTCCCCTTCACAGGCCGGATACTTTCTTCAAATCGCTGGTAAGTCTCCAATGCGACATGTTAGAGGCGTTTTTCATGGCGCCCCGCAGGTCGAACCCGAACGAATAGCCTCTATACTTACCAGTACACTTCAACGCCTTCTCCAACAATACGATGTTCTCCAAACGTTTCGTATTCCTCCTCTGCTTGGCCGGCTTACTCTTGGCCATTTTCGCGGCCCCGACGAAGGTTAGCGCCTCCATGTCTCCTTCTCATAGCGCTTCTAATAGTATCATTAGGCTGGGGTTGGAAAGGCAACGGGGAAGAACGATATAACTAGGGTGGGTCTGGAACGATCTTCATATCCCGCTTCTGTGCTCAAAGCATATCAGGCGAGCACTCTTAATACAAAGCGTGGGGCCACCGCAAAAGGCGGTACCGCCGCGAAGGGTGGCAACAACGGGAAAGGTGGTAGCTCGAAGGGTGGCAAGGGAAACGGTAGTAGCGCGAAAGGTAACGGAAAAGGTGGTAGCTCGAAGGGCGGCAAGGGAAACGGTAGTAGCGGGAAAGGTGACGGGAAAGGAAGCGAGAAGGCGAGTCTCATCATGAAATGAGTTTGCCTTTCTCATGGTTCCGCGTAGGGATCCGCACCGTAACCGTACAATACGGCTTACGGTTACGGGTTGTACGGGTACCCGTACCGTCCCGTATGCCTTGGTGACGCGCCCCCATACGGTTACGGGACCGGTACGGGTTACGGGTGGCAGGTGCCCGTACCAGTGTGGCGTCGCTAGATTGTGCCCTACAGCATGCTGCAGCCATTCCACCTACCTCTTTTTGCCTCAGATCACTACCCCAACTAATCCTCATTGTCTGGATGGCGTGCCACGGCCTCCAGAGTCCAATCCCCCACCCGTATGGACGCCGTAACGGTTACCCGTAACCGTACCGTAAGTGGTTTTGAACGCACCTTTACGGTTACGGGTCCGGGACGGCTTCAAACCGTGATGCGCCGTAAAGTATACGGCCGTAACCGTATACGGTTACGGTTCGGATCCCTAGTTCCGCGTAGACAAAAGCCGTTTGCAAATTGGACAACAAGGTACGCTACACGTTCTTGAATGCAGAATACGTATCTAATACGATTCTACAACAGGCAAAGGCATACCCGCCAAAGTCAAGCAAGACCTCTAAGAACGCCAAAGGCAGCTCGAAGGACACGGATTCGATGAAAACTCCCAAGGGCAGCAAAACGACAAAGACCACGCGTGACCTGACGCCCAGTCGGACTTTTGAGAAACGAGAGGTGGTCACGATTGGATACCACGGAACGACCAAGGTGCCTTTTACTTTGAACTCCGGCGATGTAACCTAACCGATGCTTGATTGCAGGCTAACGGTGACGAGTATTTGGCAGCCACAGAAGCTGGTAGGGGTCTAGCACGAGAGTAGGTTGCCTCTTCTGAAACCACTTCCTTCCCTCATCGGTTGCAGAGAATCTTTCAACGGAAATGCCGTCCTCTTGGGGAATGGGCTATATGTCGCGAGTTACGCCGAGACCGCCCAGGTCTATGCACTTGCGGCTGCCGAGAAAGTCCATGCCAAGGGAGGAGAGTACGAACCTGTCATATGTGTCTTGACTGTCGACACTTCGAAGGCCGATTCGGACTGGGTTACCGACTATAAGAAGATCTGGAGGCCTTACGCGCTGCTCGGTAATGGGCCGAACAGACAAGCGAAACAGAAGACCTTCCTTACGAACACCTTTGGTGAAGGTTCAGACGACACTGCCATTCGCTTCGCATAGCGTGCGTTCCATCTTCATTAATTGTGTGCGATGTCTGCTAATTGGGACCTCAAGTTCGTACCACTCGCCCCGCCAGTGCCGCAGGCCACCAGATGATGATTCCCCCGGCTACCCTCGACCGTATACAGTACGTTCAGATGATGCTCCTTCCTTCCGCCAATTCTGATATGGTCTGTTTCAAGGGCGAAGGAGTGTATACCTGCGAGGGCGGGTAGCCTTCCAAAGTTGAATTACCAGGAGCTTCAAGAACCCTGGAATATTTATGTGTCGGACGAGCTGAACTGCGATGACATTGAGTAGCGACGTTACCCTAGTCTTTGTTTAGCCCTCTCGAAATTATGATGTCTGTGTACTTAGTACTGGCTGAGCCTGACCGCGAACTTGAAGCATGATCGGAGCAAATGCTCCGGCCCACAAAAAGGCACGTCGCGTCACGTTGCTTTGCTTCCCACCATCACCATGGTTTGGATATGCATATAACGACGCCCGTTAGCGAGACGACTAATGACGGGTGAACACCAGCCGCTAAAATACGCGGAAACCACGGTTTTCGAAAAGCTCACCATTGGTTTCTGGATCATCCTTCTACGTGCGTATATGTACGATGTGCAAGATTGTTCTAACTATCATGTAGCTTTTCACATTGTCTGGAAGCTAACCCTTAACATTACTACCTCCAAGCCATGGACGCGAATTGTTACC